TTTTATCATCATTTTAGCATTTCAGAGTTTGACTTCCTTTCCCTCTTTCTGCAGTTCCTTAAATTTATTTTTTAATATCTTCTGCATATCCAAATTCACTTAATTTGCTTATTTAATTATCTACTTTAAATATAAACTCTTATGAAACTACAGGTTATTACAATAATCCTGCAGAACTAGGTTTTTTAAATAAGTAAGTAAGTAAATAAAGCTGTCCCCTTTAAAGGTAATTTTTGGGGGTCACTTCCAAGAATGTCTCATGTCTCTGATGCTTTTTGAAGTGTGCATGTTGTGTGTGGGGGAGCTGCACCCCATTTCTTTGTCTCTTGGAGCCACTTTCTGCTTACCTTGCAGGAACCTGAATAAAATTGCCCCTTTACAATATATGTATATAGCTACAGAAACAATACATATTTGAAACCTTTCAGTAGTAAAGGGTTGTGTTCTCATCAAAGTCCCCCCATTTTTCCATGTACTCTGCCATCTGGAGAGCAAAGATAGATAAATCCCACCCCCCATAAGACTGTACTTTCAACCTAGAAGCTCTTCCCTTGCTGTTAATTAATCCTTTGTAGTTTAGGGACTGATGAAATCATGGTTCTATGAAATTTTAATCCACGTGCTGCATAGACGCAACTGACGTTATCAAAAGACCCCAGGTGTGCACACAAAATTAGTTTATGGAATCTATTGCATATTTGATTGCTTCCCTGATATATATATATATTTTTAATCCAGATCTTGCTCCTGTTATACTGAAAGTATTCAGTTTCAAATAATCTGCTAGGCTGAAACAGCAGGGAGGAGAGCAGTGTGTGTTTGTCTGTTAGCGGGAACAGAGAATGAAATGATAGGTGATTTCGTTAGGGAAATTTGAGGGAGGACTAATGGTGGTTTGGGAAGATGATGGACATTGGGAGTGGTGGTGTTAAACTTCTTCCCCCAGATTCACACAACCCAAGCGTCCAAAAGGAGACTAGCAAAAGGAAGACGTTTTTGTGATCATTTGCTTGACAGTATGGAAATGCAAATTCTCTTTCTTTCTTTCTTTCTTTCTTTCTTTCTTTCTTTCTTTCTCCACCCTCTTCACTGTTTAAATGGAGTTTGCCCTTCTGGGTATGGTCAGTGTTCAAAATGGCAACAACAAGAACAATTTTATTATTATTTATACAGCATATAAAAAGCATAGTAAAACATCAAACATTAAAAACTTCCTGGTACAGGGCTGTCTTCAGATGTCTTCTAAAAGTTATGTAGTTCTTTATCCCCTTGACGTCTGAAGGAAGGACGTTCCACAGGGAGGATGCCACTACCAAGAAGGCCTTCTGCCTGGTTCCCCGTAACTTCACTTCTCATAGTGAGCGAACCACCAGAAGACCCACAGAGGAGGATCTCAGTGTCCGGGCTGAACAATGGGGGTGGATACAGTTTTAATTATTGTATATATTTATTATGCATGCATGCACTCCATAAACTCAAGTGGATTGGGAATTCTTAACAGTACAGTCCCACCACGGGGCATGTATTGTGTCTCATGCACACATGTGTGACCTCCCCCAGCTTTTGCACCACCATCATGGCTGAGATGTGTTTGGTGGTTTCACCTGAGTGATTTCTTACAACATTCTGTTAACTTTCAAAGGGCAGGTGCAGGTGTAATGCACGGTTAAGGTTTATGTCATCAACACTGACCATAGATGTGGTTAACTGGGTTCCCTCTTTACAATGGTCTGCTAGTTGGCTTCAATCTGTAGTTAAGATGTGGGTGGCCGTTAACACAAACATGGTCATGGTTGCTATTAAACATGGTTAAGATCAGTGCTGATACTGCTGTTAATCATGGGATGGGCAGCTTTGAGACAGCACTGGATTACTGAACAGAGGTCAGCTGTAACTAGGGTTTGAAGCTGATTAGCAAACTCTGCCTTAAGAGGGAATCTGGTTCCTATGAACTGTGATTAAGGTGAATGCTAAAGCATTTTTTATTCATAGAAGGTCATGTTATTTGTATTATTATTTAAAGACCGTCAACAATGATCAAGGAATTTACCTTACAAAACTTACATGAAGGTATTTGCACCCGTCAAATTAATTCATGCTCATGTGCAATGGAGGGGGAATTGTTGCTCATGGCACAGCGCATGTTCTACATCATGCCAAAAGTCCCAGGATACACACACTTCAATCCCTGGCATCCCCAGTGGAAAGGATCCTCAACTTGAGACTTTGGAGAGCCACTGCAAGTCAAAAGAGGCTGCTCTGGGCTAGATAGAGCAATGGTCTGAGTCAATCTAAGACCTGTTCAATATAAAGCAGCCAAATGGAATCTTTGTGATTCTTCTCTTGGTACCTCTGAGTACCGGATGTAGTGGACAAACATCTTCCCCTCGTGTGGGAATGGAATGGACCCATGGCTGAGTGAGTGCACATGAAAATAACACATGGAAAAAGATTAGATCTGTCAATCTCCAGAAACAGGATGCTGGACCTAGATTCTAGATTTCTTTTTGGTTTGATCCAGCAGGGTACTGCTTTAGCTTTACATAAGAAGCTCCTGAATTTCTTTTATTTTTGGCTGTAACAATTTGGATGATGACTTTCCCCCCTCAAATGTGGAATATGTTGATATATCAGGAAGGAAACGTGCTGTTAGGGAGATCAGGTGATGTGTTTATTTTTAAATTTGGAATTTGTGAACTACTTGCTATTTCTGAATTAGAGGACTCAAAACATCTGAATAATTACAGTTTGCCCCTGGCAGTAGACTTCTAAGGTCATTTTTATCTCTCTTTTTTCAATTGGATCATCCTGTTTTCTGTTTAATTCTTTGGGGGAAGGAGGAAGAGGAGGTTTCTGGGAGGGGAGTTTTAGCCCTTTCTAACCATACGTGATGTACATGTCAAGTCTGCTCAATTTACCCATCAGAACAAGCCCTGGTCCTCTGGGATCAGTGTGTGATTCACAAAAGCAATCTCTCTTTTTGCTTTCATAACTGGTGATGCTAGATTTCCAAAGAACATCTGCGGCAGCCTTTGCCAATGTGGCACCCTCCAGATCTTTCGGATCACAACTCCTAGCCAGAACATCTGTCCAAATGGGAGCTGTGGTCCAAAACATCTGGAGGGCACCAGGTTGGGGAAGTCTCATCTAAGAAACTGAATTAGCAATGGTGATTCTAAACAAGAGGGTGCCGTGTGACTAGGAATACTGGAATACATAAACTGCACTTCTGGAGCACCTAATAAAATGCATTAGCACTTAAGCATCGCTGAATCTCCACTTCCATAGCCCAAGGCCTTAGGTGAGAAGAAATTGCTAGTTCTCATTGGCTTCATTGCTTAACCCTTCTGCTACTGCGTTCTAGCTGCAGTAGCATTCAGCATCAGGAAATGAAGCCTTTGAGAGCAACTCATTGTCATTTTGGCTTTCAAAGACTTCCAGGATGCATTTTGAGAACTGGAACACAGGAAGCTGCCTTCTATCTAGTCATACAATTCATCAATTTTGCTCAGCATTGCCTATCATCAGGGCTGGCTAGATGGTGTTCCATCTTCCATCATCTCTGACCACTCACACTCCTGCATGTGGCTGATGGGAGTTGGAGGCCAGCAACCCTTGCAGGGTCACAGATTCCCCAGCCCTTGCCTATGCAACCAGATGATGGTTCCCCAGGGCTCCAGACAGGAGTCATTCCCAGACCTAGCATGAGGAGCCACCAGGAGTAGAACCTGGAATCTTTTGCCTGCACAATTGGTGCTCTCTTCCACTGAGCTACGGGGACGCAGGTGGTGCTGTGGGTTAAACCACAGAGTCTAGGACTTGCCGATCAGAAGGTCAGCGGTTCGAATCCCCACAACGGGGTGAGCTCCCGTTGCTCGGTCCCTGCTCCTGCCAACCTAGCAGTTCAAAAGCACATCAAAGTGCAAGTAGATAAATAGGTACCGCTCCAGCGGGAAGGTAAATGGCGTTTCCGTGCACTGCTCTGCTTCGCCATGGCCACATGACCCAGATGCTGTACGCTGGCTCCCTCGGCCACTGAGCTACAGCCCTTCCTGATCCATGAAGAAATGTCCAAGAACCGCCTGCCCCCCATCATCCTTGGGTTGAAAAGAAATAAATGGGTCTGCCTTCTAGCTGCTCCCACATCCTCATATCAGTGTTGATCAAGGTTGTTCTCTCCAGGTGCTGCTGGACTCCAGCTCCCATAAGCCCTAATAACCAGTGCCAACAGGAGTGGTAGTCCAACAATGTCTGGAGAGCACAGCATTGGCTCCCCCTGCTTTGGGTTAGAATAATGGAACATAGGAAGCTGCCTTGTTGTCATGGGGTGGCTGGATGCAGAGGAGTGATAAGAGGCACCAGTTGGGGAACCCCCAAGGGAAGAAGGCTCAGAGCCAGGAGATTGGAGGTGGGGTGCCGATGGGTGGTCAGAGGGAGAAGAGGGGGCAGACTGGGAGGAGGTGTCAGAAACTGAAGAGGCAACAGGACTTAGTGAGCAGGAAGAGTCTGTGACAGAGAGCAGTCCAGAATCAGAGGCAGAAGCAGAGACTGGAGAGAAGAAGCAGAGATGGGGCAGGCTGCTGAATAAGTCTTCCCCTCCTGCTGTGACTAGCTCCCCTCCCCGCTGGTCTCCCATCACCTGCAGAGGTATGAAGAGGGTGGAACAGAGAGAGGCAAGACAAAGGAGCCTAGGATTGCTTGGGAAGGAACTGGGGGATAGCTGTGGGAAAGTAGGAACCTTCAGTCCTTGCAACTGCCTCATTGGGGCAAGATCTATTGGAAAGAGTTACTGTGCTCACTAGGCCTGAGCTATTTTGTTTCTTTGAATAAAGAGTTAACTTCACTGACACCTTGTGAGTTATTGCTGACCAACTCCCGACATCCTCCCTGACACTTATACTGATTCATAACATTGGTCCATCTAGCTTAGTATGGTCCACACTGACCAGAGAGAAGCTCTCCAGGGTTTCAGACAGGAGTCCTTTCTCAACCCTACCTGGAGATGCCATTGGGGTTTGAACCCAGGACCTTCTGCATGCAAAGCAGGTGCTTTACCACTGAGCTATGGCCCTTCCCTAATGTGGCACTGTTGTGACATATGCAACCTGTTACCTGGATCAGGGAAGTAATATACCTTATGGAATGATAAACAACCAAGCAGACAAAAATGGGGTGCCTCTTCCACTTGAGCTTTTGCTAGGAAGATCTGTGGGCTTGGCTTCTCTCCTGCAGATGTGTGTGTCCAACTCTCGTTCCCCAGGGCACAGGCTAGAAAGGGTCTGAGCCATTCCCCTTTTAGCCTTCCTTCCTGAGAAACACCGATGGCTTATTTGGTACTAAGTCTTGTGCATCTGATTGGCAGCCAGTCCTAGAACCCACATGCTTGTTTGCCCACCTGCCAAGATCCTTTCAGGCTGTACACCTTCAGGAATAAATACAGATGTGGAGAATGTGTCTCTCTAAAACTGGCAGGAGGGATACCATTTTTCTTTCTTTAATTCCCTTTGGGGTTGCAAAGATTTGGTGTGTGTGTGGTTCCCCCCTCCCTTCCCTGTTGATTCGGCCTTTTAACGCGTTCCTTCGGGCTCTCAAAAATTCTCATTTCAAGGTAACTGAGCAATTAATGAATATTGAACAAAGAAATTTGTTTTGGAACCGGGACATTAGAATACATTAGAAGCAGAGAAATCCAAGCAGCTTTATCTGCTGTGTGCCAACTTCTCTCTTTCTTTGCCTCGTGAATAAGGTTACAGTGAGAAAAACAAAGCCCCTCCTTGAAGGGGGGGCAGTTCTAGGAGGTGGGTGCCTTTTTCGGTTGCTGCTGGAAGGGTGGCTTATGCAGGCTAGCAAACTCCAAGCATCCCTGTCTAAGGTGCATGCTCCCTGTCTTAAGGCTCATTTCCCTGCTTCCTCAAAACGGACCTTGATGATGAAGTATGATTCAGGCAGGAAGCAACTGCATTCTTCCATAGACCAGCTTTGCAATGAGAACCTACCCTTTGCTCTTTTTCCACTCCGTCAAATGCAAGGTTTTTTGGTTTTTTTTAAGTTCCTTCAGCTGCTTTTCCTTAAAAAGACCAAAGTGGTATACAGTGGTACCTCGGGTTACATACGCTTCAGGTTACATACGCTTCAGGTTGCACACTCCGCTAACCCAGAAATAGTGCTTCAGGTTAAGAACTTTGCTTCAGGATAAGAACAGAAATTGGGCTCTGGCGGCTCGGCAGCAGCAGGAGGCCCCATTAGCTAAAGTGGTGCTTCAGGTTAAGAACCGTTTCAGGTTAAGAACGGACCTCCGGAACGAATTAAGTACTTAACCTGAGGTACCACTGTAAATACATAAGAGCTGGGGGGGGGAGGAGTAAGAAAAACAAGTGCAGGTAAATCTCTCTTCCTCTCCGAGGGATGCTTGAGGAATTTGATCGTTGTTAATTGCAACATGCACAGACCTGATCCAGACCTCTAAGACTAATGGGCAATTTGGAGTTCCCACAGCTTTCGCACTTCCCAAATGTTCCAGTGTGGTTCTTCACTCAACACCCCTCTGCACACACATTTAGAAATGCATGTTTTCCAATGGATTTAAAGTGATGTAGATTGGAGATAGCATGATCCACCCATTCTTGCTCTTTCCTCACCATCCTCTCAGCTTATAACAATCAAAGATAAAACGAAGGGGGGGAAAGCATTTTTGAAAAGGTCATAAATCCAACCGTATGTTTTTCTAAGCCGTTCCATCTCTGTGTGCCCTGCCCACCCATCTGCACCCAGTAATTCCATATGTTTTGACCATAGTGGATAGTGAGAGAAATAACTTTGGTTTTAGTGGAAGCTGAACAGCAGCAGAATGCGAATAGCGCTGATTGACAAACACAGAGCAGGATGGAAATGGTTGCTTCCGTACATCTCTTACCATGATTTGAACATTTTTCCTGGTTATTCTGTCTGATATTTCCTCCCCACCACTCTGCAGTAAATCTTTAGAAATCTGCAACGTTGTTATATGTGCATCTCCCCCCCCCCCAAATAAAAATAGCACCGAGTTTTGCGTTATTTTCTTCTTTTGTAAAACTGCAACTGACTCCTCTGCCCTGTTTTGGAAGCTCTTATTTTAGTCTCCTATGTTTAGAGGTGAGAAGGCTGCAGTGACGGTGCAGTTGCGAATTATATTTGATACTCAGCGGTGCCTGCCAGAGCTATTTGAGACACCTGGTGGCTGATGTCACTGTTTTGTAGTAAATAATTGCTTTCAAGTTCATCGAAGCAGGGTGGGGAGGGAGGGACAGCCTCTCTGTGTTGCCGCTGCCATAGATAACACAACTAAAAACTTTCTTTGAATGGCCTTGACTCATGCTATGGTCATAAGAACCTAAGTAGAGGCCTTCTGGATCACGTCAATGACCCCTTTAGCATCCTGATTCCAGAGGTTTCCATTTCAGTGGCAATGCTCATTAACTTTGGGCAGGGGGGCAGCCCCCTCAAGTCTTTTTTGGGGGGGGGTCAAAGGGACCTCAGCCCCTAGGAGTTGGCTCTTATGGGTCTGATTCTGTGTAAAGTAGCTTGCAGTGTTTCTAATCTCATGAACAGCTCTCTCCAGGGGGGTGGAGCCATGGGAAGCCAGTTTTAGGTTTCAGTTAACTCTTAAGGACAGGTTCACACCATTCCCTTAAAGCAGCACTTCCCAACCTAGGGTCTCCAGCTGTTTTCAGACTACAATTCCCATCATCCCTGACCACTGGTCTTGCTAGCTAGGGATGATGGGAGTTGTAGTCCAAAAACAGCTGGAGGCCCAAGGTTGGGTAATACTGCTTGAAAGCACCTTCAACACAGAAGACTCCCTTGCTGGGCTGTGTATGTGATAAAGGGGAGCCATATTGGGGTGAAGGCATCCTCTTCTATTTGCCCCTGCATCAGTTTCAGTCTGTTGGCTAGCTTTTCTAGCAAGGCTGTTTCCCATACGATGGAAATGTAATAAACAAACAGAAAGAGAACCTACCCAAATGATGCTGGCATAAAACCCCCACATACACACAACGTATAAGAACACAGTGGTACCTCAGGTTATATACGCTTCAGGTTACATACGCTGCTAACCCAGAAATATTACCTCGGGTTAAGAACTTTGCTTCAGGATGAGAACAGAAATTGTGCAGCAGCGGCACAGCGGCAGCGGGAGGCCCCATTAGCTAAAGTGATGCTTCAGGTTAAGAACAGACCTCCATAACGAATGAAGTTCTTAACCCGAGGTACCACTGTATAACTTTACCACTCCCCCCCTCTTTTTTCTCCTTCCCCAGACTTCTGTGTACAACACTAATGTCTCACATCATATGTAACTGATATATAGAAAAGACTTTACAACCTGAGAAAAGAGACAAGTCATGTACTTTTGTAAACCAAGAAAAGCATTTTTTTTTAAAAAATAATAATAATAATCCAAAACACACACACAGAGAGAGATGACTCCTTACAAAGAATCCTGGGAACTGCAGTTAGTTATGAGTGCTGCGAACTGTATATCTGTGAGGTGGAAACTACAGCTGCCAGGCATCTTTAGGAGAAGTCATGTGCTTGCAATGAGCATTGAATGTGTGTTGAACCCTCCAAAAGCTGGACCCATTGAGGTGCCACCCAGGCCCCTACTTTACCCCATTTTTTATTTATTTACTTACTTTAAATTATTCTTTATTGATTAAAAATTTACATATCTGTACAAACATTGTGTAATTATACAGAAAATAGAAAATTTCTAAAGGAATAACAAAGAGGGGGGAAAGGAAGAGAAAATAAAGAAATAATAAAGATAAGAAGTAAAGAAATCAAAAGAGGCAAAGAAAAGGCAAGACAATGTTCATTGACACCGTCCTTCCAATCCTTCTCATTATACTACAATACAGACATTTTTTTTTACACAGGTTTATATTGTATAATATCATTTCTACTTTGTATACGTTCTTCTTTTCTTTTTCTTTACAAATATCACTCAATTTCTGCTAATAGCCTAGCCCCATTTTTAACCTGGAAGAAGCTCAGGTGTCCACTCCTACCTGCCCTGTGGACCCCCAAGCCCCTTCACCCCCAAACCTATGCATGTTCATTCAGTGTCTGACGAGGGTTTTTGTCTGAGCAGAGGGTCAGTGAACGTGAAAAGTCGGGGGAGAGATGATGTGTCCCTCTCCCTCCTTATGCATTTGTTGTGTGCCCTTTCAACAACTGAACAGGGCTTTGATTCCTAACCCCCCCCCCAAGTAATTGTTGCCTCCCCAGGCTCATCTTCTCTGCCTACTCTCTATTCCATTCCCTTTTCTGATTTGCAGGCAATCTATAACGGGGGATTTCTTTCTCGTCGGACTGTTTTTCTGTCTGATGACCTTGGGCTTCTACAATATCTGCACTGTAGATGAGATGTGGCGTTGCCGCATGTATCTTGATAAAATGTATCAGTGGATGAATTGATTTTCATATTGATTTACCGGAGCACGAAACGACGCGAGTAGAGCGAGCGAGAGGCAAATCAGACCCCCGTCTCCTTAATGGCATCCTCCAAAGAAGTTGCAGAATCAGAGGTGGCGTGCGAAGTTAGCCGTGTCTATTGCAAGACTCCTTGCGGAGTGGAGAGGCCTGTTGCTTTGTTTGGATGTATTTCCCATCTCCATATCAGGCTAGCGTTCGTGGCATAAGCCGTTGCACAGCGTATATGTGTGTGGCGGGAAAATCAGTTATTAAAAGCCACAAAACCCAAACGTACCCGTGCGCTGATGATATCTCATACAGCCTGCAAGCAAAGCTTCCTTGGGAGACTGTTTGGGGGCCGCAATTCAACCCTCGGCACTAGGAGGTTTGAGGTGTCTGAAACAGGTTGTTTGAAACAGGTTGTTCTAACTTGGAGTAGTTTCCTTGGAAAGAGTAATTCTGGGTTAAGTGGAGGCTACAGGCTGACATTTTGACCATGGTAGCATTGTGTGGACACTACAAAAAAGTGGGGCTTCCATCAGCATGATAAATGCTCACCTGGAAGCACCCTTAGACTATAGAGAGCAGATCTCTCCTGCTGTTAATCAACTGGACTGG